CCGATGACTCGGAGCCTGGAACTTGCAGCTCGCGAATGCCTCTCGGAACCCTGTGCTGCTATGTTAACTCCTGGTAGGTCCACTGCCGTCCTCTCGCCCTCGCTATCGCCCTAGGCCTCTCCCTGGCTGCATACACGGAGTACGTGCGGATACCGTTGAGCTCGAGTTTGTTCGGGATGGGTTCGTTGCCGGACTTGTACGAGGCGGAATTGAGGAGATCCAGGATGGTCTCAAGAGGAAGCGATTTACTAGTGTTGATCTCGTGAAGGTGCGCAGTTATCCCTCGCTTTCGTCTTTTGCTTAGGCTTGACCTGAGCGCGTTCAGGCTTATCTCGCTCGCATCGACGAGGTCAACTGAACGGACCCGCATTACGCGCCGTCCTGGAGACCAATCCAAATGTGCTGAGGCAGGCTGCTGAGCTCGACAAGGAGAGGGAAACCTCAGGGCCCGCGGTCCCTCCACGGCATCCCGATTCTGCTCAAAGACAACATCGCAACACTGCACAGCGAGGGTGCGCACCCCACACTTGCCTCCTTCGCAGCCTGTTAAAGTACCCCTACAGGCATGAACACCACCGCAGGGTCCTACGCCCTGCTCGGCTCCGTCGTTGCCGGCGAGTCCTTCGTCGCCGCGCAGCTCCGCGCGGCGGGTGCGATCCTCCTGGGCAAGTGTACCCTCTCCGAGTGGGCGAACTGGCGCGGCACGGTGCCCTCGGGTTTCTGCGGGCGCGGCGGCCACGGCACGAACCCGTACGTCCCGCTGGGCAACCCGTCCGGCTCGAGCTCGGGCAGCGGGATCGCGGGCGCGGTGGGCCTCGCGACGGCCACGCTCGGCTCGGAGACGGACGGGTCGATCATCAGCCCGAGTGGTAACTGTAATGTGGTGGCCTCAAGCCGACGGTGGGGCTTACTTCGCGCGCAGGGGTACGTGGTGCTGCTCTGGCTCAGACGTGTGAATGCTCAAGCGCTCACGGGTGACCGGCATGCCCAGTGATCCCAATCTCAGAGCACCAGGATAGCGTCGGCCTCATGTGCCGCAGTGTCGCGGACTGCGCTATTGTCCTCTCGACCATCGCGGGGCGCGACCCGCACGACAGCTACACGCTGAACCAGCCCGCGCAGGTGCCCGACTACACCAAGGCCCTCAAGAAAGACGGGCTCAGGGGCGTGCGTCTCGGCGTGCCGCGCAAGGTCCTCGAGGGCGTCGACGCGAACGTCCTGATTGCGTTCAACAAGGCGCTGAAGGACCTCACGGAACTCGGCGCGACAGTTGTCGACCCCGCAGACTTCGGAGATGGGTGGGACTACGAGGAGGTGCAAAATCGCGAGGACGTCGTACTCTGTGGGGACTTCAAGGTCAACATTCACAGTTACTTGTCTAAGCTCGTGGACGTCCCGACGGGCGTGCGCACCCTTGCGGATCTTATCAAGTTCAACGAGGACAACAGGGAGAAGGAGCTTGTGGAGCCGTACTGGACGGACCAGGCGAGGTACGCTTGCGTCCCGCGTGTTTTCCTTGTTGTGTCTTGTGAATGACGCGACATTGGCAGGTTCGTCAAGTCCAATGGCGTGCACCAGGACCCGGCATTCTGGGAGGCACTGGAGTGGGACTACCGCATGGGCAGGCAGGACGGCGTCGACGGCCTGCTGAAGAAGTACGGGGTCGACGCGATCCTCATCCCCACCGCCAGGGCGTCCCGTCCCGCCGCGGTCGCAGGCTATCCCGTCATCACTGGTCCGTCCTACTCCATGCAGCGTGTGCTATACAATGCTGACCTTGATAAACTTGTAGTGCCCCTCGGGTTCCAGCCCCCGACGTCGCGCTCACGGAGGCGAGCCCAACACGTATGAACGGCCCGAACATGCCCTTCGGGATCTCGTTCCTAGGAACGGCGTACAGCGAGTTCCAGCTCATCCAGTACGCGTATGCGTATGAGCAGGCGACGAAGCACCGGCTGGAGAAGAAGGCGTACCCGGAGGCGATACCGAAGACGCAGCTGGCGGACGTGATGGGCAAGTAGTGGGGCAGCCCCACTGGGTAGATCGGTAGACAACGTGAGATGGCGTGGCGTAGCGTTAGGGTCTGACAAAGGGACAGAGGCTTCGCGGGCTGTATAGAAATCAGCTACGAGGAATGGTCCGTGGATTATAGGATACAAAGCGATGCATGCTATAGAAGAGAGTCCGAACTGTGCAGCTCTGATGTCCATGCAAAGGAACCGGCAAAGCGAGGCTACGGGTGTGCGCGAGGTCTGCGGCTGTAGACGTGCGCACGCTGTGACGGGACGGCATCGTTCACGGCGGCTAATTCTTGTCGTACAGGGGTGGGACTTGCAGTAGCTCCGAGGGCGGCGATTGCAAGGATGCAGAGCAGGAAGGCACGCATGTCTGAATGCGGATATTTCCGCCTGTCAGCGTCGCGTGCGGCCCCAGCGGTCTCGCACTCACTGATAGAAGTATTAGCCTGCTAATTGATCAGCTAAGATCGGAGGCAAGACATGGAAGTGGTATCGCTCACTGGAGAATACAATCTCAAGGACGTGAGGACGTCGTGGTGTCGTGTCGGGTCGTAGGTGCGATGCAGAAGTGCAGCGACCTCGTCTTCCTTGCGCAGTGCTCTTATTAATAGGAGAGCCAAGTATACGCTGTGCTAAGGATAGCAACAGGAGAGAGAATGAACGCAAAGACGCAAATTTTCACGAGATCGTGAGATCGTGGGCCGGTGTGAAGTGCAGGAGAGGGGGGCGCAGAGCGTACGGGCATGCGTTGCCCACGACAGCCCGTTTTATGTGCGCGACAGTCGCCACGTCGCCTAAGCTGCGGAGGCGAAGAATGACCGAAGCAGACAAAGGGCGGCGACGCACAGCCAGCTGCAGTGCACGCGCAAAACACGCCGCAGACGCCACAGCCCAAATGACGCGGTTTGAGGGGCGCAAGAACATTTCGCCGCTTCAATCCGACAATGCGGACATACTACCTCGCAGCTAACCGTTTGTAGATGCTGTCGAACGCTAATCGTCGAAACTGTCCAGTCATGAGCATCTTGAGCGAAGAGAACAAGGTAAGTTATGTACTTACATGTGGTTTGACACGAGTGCGCAATGTCTAAGATTGCCAGTACTGACACAGGGTGCAAGCACCAACAAATAAGTGCCACAGCCTGCTACCCGGCCGCAGCCGGCCGCCCGACCAGGCCGACCTTGAGCTTGAGCGCTTGAACTTCCGATGGCTGGCCTGCTGCCTTACTGTACTGCGTTCAAAGAGCCTGAGGTCAATATCTCACTGCGATTCACAGTCGACTCACTGCCTCTTTCTGATACTGAGGACATGCGCAGAGCTGGGATAATTGCGGAGCCTGAGGACGCGCTTGTGGGTTGATCCTAAGTGAACTGGAGGACTCGCACATGATGTTCTACATGAGCACTAGGTCACAATACTCACCTACCTCGACAGATGAGCTAGCATCTGGGCCAATGACTGTTACCACATTCCGGAATGAGCAAGGGGGGGCGAGGTGAGCGAAGGGACAGTGGAGCGATGAAAGTCGGTACAATCAAGCAAGGCGGAGATGGTAAAGAAATCGAACTGGCGAGTGTCAGGGAGCGTGTGTCCGCTGAGCCAGAGAGCATTTGAGGGCGCCATAGTATGGTGCCAGCATGAGCGCTGGGATCAAGAGGTGGCAGATGAACCACGGCATAACAGAGTTGAAGTCGCGGGATGACCAAGTTGTTACAAGTCGCCATGTTACGTACATTTTCATTTTCTTTTACTTGTTATCTCTAACCACCTCACGTGCATGAGGACCGGTTATGTACTGTACCTGTAATGGCGCCTCACTCGTCGTGCCTCGTATGCGCTGCACCCAGTCTCTATTCAAGGAGATCTGTCTACAGAGTGCATACAAAGCGGTGACGAGGTAAAGGCTGAGGTCTCGTAGGTGCACAGGCGCGCCATACGAGCCCTCAGGCAAACAATGACAAACATACAAGACGAGACATACCGTAACGGGAATATCCGTTACACCCTCCCCCACTGGACACGACCACGGGTCCCAGCGATAACCAGAGAAACAGATAGAAAAAAGGAAAAGGAAAGGAAACATATGCAACAACCCAACGGTGGTAGCAAGTGGCAAAACAAAGATGATGTTGAACTGTAGACAACGACATGCTAGATCGTGTCAGTGAGCAGACACAACCGTTCACCATTGTCATACATAACTCGATGGAGTTATGCAACCAGGAACGTAGACTACTACTCGGACTCGGAGTAGTAGTCTGCATCTTCCGAGTCACGGTTACCCTCATCTTCGGCAGATAGTGCAGAAGAACTTTGGGTATCCTCCATCTCGGACTGCTCGTAGTAGTCAGAGACTACTACCGAGTTTGTCTCTTCAGACCCTGAACTTCGTGAGTACCATGAGCTATGGTGCTCGGACTCGGAGAAGTACTCCGACTCAATCTGGTCAGGGTACTCCTCACGAGTGGTGGTATGAGGCTCCTCATCAGAGGAGTTATACCAGTCGGAGTCATCCCGAGGTTGACTGCGAGGTGGTACAACAAGCCATCCCAGCTTGTTGTAGGCCCAATATCGCACCATCTCCATAGGTAATGGTGCAATGAGCAGAGGATCAAACTCGAGAGGAACCACTTCCAATTCCCTCTGGAAGTGGTCCCATGCTCGACGAGCAGCACGAGAATATGTCCCCGGTCGCGGGGACATCTCCTCGATGGCCTGTCCACAGCTGAGTGCAGATCTCTTGCAGTGAGCCCAAATGGCCCACTCGCCATCACTCGCCGCGGATTCAGCCTCGTCGAAATCGTGGTCGAGCTGGTCCGCGAGGAGGCTGAAACACAACTCGCGCAACACCTTGTCCATGGGCCATCGACTCACGTCAATGGTTACTGGACGATCCGGCGCAGTCGGTACTCGGTTCAATGCTGGTATGTCGCTGCGCGAGGTACTAACTTCCCGAGTGATGTCGTGGCCGCGACGGTCACCTGTACTCTGTACGTCGAGTCGATCGCTCGATGCGCGTGGTACGGGTGGTACCTGTCTCGGTGTTCGACGTGAAGCTCGTACATCGAGCTCAACGCTGGATGTACCGCCCGTGACTGCGTCCGATACCAGTACATCACTATATGATGTACTGGTGGTGTTGTGGAACAAGCGGTGGCCATTCGAGGCCCCGCTCCCTTCCCCTCTCAGGAGAGTACCCCCCCTCGTAGAGGAGGTATCTCCTCCTTGCACTCGCGCCGGCTCGGTCTCGGTACCAGCAGTAGTCGTTGAACGCTGCCGTTCACCTGAGCCCGATGATTCCAGCCCTCGCGGTGGCTGTTCCTTCTTACGGGCGCGCGACGACGCCCTGGTCGTCGCGTCATTCGATGCGGGCACATCACCCAGTAAGCCGGATGCACCCGCCACACCACACGGTCCAGGTAATTGTACCCGCGAGGACGAGGATTCGTCCTCGTCAATGGTCCCTTGCCCTGGAACTACCGACGTGACCTCGTCAGTCCCCGTCCCTTCATTTGACTGCGCTGGGTCCGGGGAAGAAGGCAGCACATCCGTCTTGGATGTGCTCGGCAGCAGGTACTGGTCTTGTTTGCTGAATGTGTCAAGTACCTCGCGGTACTTGGCGTGGTGTTCGTCGCCGTAATCCGCGGCCAGTCCACGTCGGTCTTCGAGGTGCTGCCCGTGGGCGCGACGTGCTGGTAGCACGTAGCGTCCCGTCGGTCGCCATTCGTTCTCGGGTGCAGCCTGTCGTACGTCTACCATGGTAGACGTCTCGGTCGACTGCTCGCGATCTACCAACTGGGGCTCATCCGCTTTCCCATCCTGACGTTCGTTCACGACGATTGAATGTTTCGTCCCAGCGCGACACGGCGGTGGCACTGCAACCAAAGAAGATGAGTTGGCGAGTACCTCATGGTACTCGCCCTTGGCAGTCGGACAATCATGTCCGTCTGCCGTATGCTCTGAGTGCGAATCCAGTGGGTGTGCGAGTTCCCTGAGGTACTCGCACTCCTCCTTAAGAGGATGTTCAGCGGCACCTACATCGAGCATAGAGCTCGATGGCAGTGCCGCACCAGTCGTGACGAGGCGGGGCGAGTCGGTAGTGCATGTAGTATGCGTTCCGAACGCACCGCCATGCATGGCTGCTGATGCGACTACGCTGTCGCTTTGTGATGTGGGCGGACCACCGTCGATTGCGACGACCTTCCGGGTGGTCGCGATCGACGCTGGTAGTAGTACAGTAGGTGATGGTGGCGGGGCGAGTACCGCGAGGTACTCGCCGTCCGAGTCGCCGCCGAACTCCTTAGCATAGACGTCGGTCGAGAGGCCCGACGTCTGTGCATGAGTCGTGACCGTGTTGGATACATCGGATGAGCTCGCTCGCTCGCCGATCGTACCGCGTTGCCTGGCTGTGCCAGGTGCGACCTGTAGGTCGCCTCCTGGGTCATCCGTGCCCTCGTCGTACGTGGTGGCTGCCACGACAACCGCATTGGTTGTCGTGGTCGTCACAGATGGTGGTAGGGGGGCCGGAGATGGTGGTAGGGGCGGATTAGGTACGCCTAAAGGAGACGTACCTGTCGTCGAGCTATCCCGCTCGACTCGTTCGTCCTCTGTGCTTGCCCTGCACCCTTCCCCCTCTCCTCCGTCTACCGGAATCTTCCCGTCTGCCTCTCCTGCCTCCACGACCTCATCGACGTCTCCCTCATCCCCGTCCTGATCCTTCGTTCGTCCTGCGCGCGACCTCCGGGGTGTGCTCGCGGTCTCCGACTCGATGGGCCTGTCGTAGTCGCCATGGGTGTCGGGGGCCGCGGGGAGGTCGATAGGATGTTGGGTGGGGTCCCCTAGGAGTGAGCCCTCGCCGAGAACTGTGAAGTTCTCGTCGGGTTGACGGTCGGGACACCGTTCTGGCGTGTCGGGGTCCGTAAGCGCCGGCTGCTGCACTAACGGTAGTGCAGCAATCAAGTCGCGATCTCGAGCTCGCGCATTCGTTGGGAATACGCGAGCTTCGATCTGCGCGCTCGCCGGGGCGCCGGGGTCGCGAGTAGGGGGGTAGTGGTGGCTGGAGAGGTCGAGGTTGATGTCGAGATCGTTCGTAGGACCCGCCAGTTGAACCGCGTACGGTTCAGCTGCGCACGAGCGATTGCTCGGCCGCACGTCCGTCGGGGCGATGCGGCAGTCCTGCACCGAGTTGAAGCGCAATGGGTTGCTGCTCTGAATGTGAGCGAGGTCCGCAGCTTCGTCC